GATTCTCAGTTTCCGAATTCCCCACTCCACGTGCAGAGAGCTTTATTTCTCTATGTAAGTGTATGGATGTGTGACTCTTTGACACATTTTATCTCACTTTTCAGTAAGTTTGCTTCTTGCTTTCTGTTGGTCTGAGATTTTTTCTGCCTTTTGATTCTTTAATTGGCTGAATCAACTGTTAACATGCCTGAAACACTACCATGCAAAGGTTAACTAATGTTTATAAGTATTGGTACAGAAAGGTAGGTAGGCTTTGAGTAAAGGTGTGAGATGATAAGTAAAGGTTAATGAACTAGAATAATTGACAAAATGTTAATCATTAACACTAAAATATATTTTTATAATGCTGGCATATAAACTGTATAGAGATAGAGACTGTTTGGTTCTTACCGAATCTCCTATTACCTAGTAAATGGTAGTCACTTAAAAAAAGATGCTTTAAACCTACCACACCCTCCAAGGCTCAGGAGCTTTTTGGGAAGAGATTGGGAAAACACGGAGGAAGGGGTGGAGTGTCAACTGGAAGCGTCCTCTGACCACTATGCTGGCAAGCTATAGTCACACCTCCTTCCCACACTCAACAAGGAGTTTGGGGGGGGGGTGATGATGTCAGTTACCCCTCCCACCCATTCAGTCGACCTTAGCTGTGTGTGTGGGGGGGAGGGACTAAGGATAGGTAAGCTGAGAACACCATGAGGCCTCTCTGGCCATTTTGTGCTGCTGTCAGAAAGTCACAGGATCTACATTTGTGTGGACTTTCCAGCACAGCCATAAATCAGGGTCTGTAAATAAACCCCTACTCTATGCCCTGTTAGCAAGCCCAATAAACTAGTTAGGATTTTTTTTCAAAAATGAAAAATAAATAACAGAGCTAATGTAAACTTAGTCCACCAAAGTTGACCCCATATTGGCAAATCCTTTGGTCTTTTCTTGTTTTTTGTTTTTTTTTGTTTTTTTTGTTTTTTTTGTTTTTTTTTGAGACAGGGTCTCCCTGTGGCCCCAGATGGCCTGGAGCTTGCTATGTGGACCAGGCTGGCTTCGAAATCACAGAGATCTGCTGGGCTCTACCTCCCAAGTGCTGGGATTAAAGATGTGTGCTACCATGCCTGGCTTTGGTCTTCAACTTCTTATCCCTTCTTTTTTACCCTTAAACTTCAGTGTGTGTGTGTGTGTGTGTGTGTGTGTGTGTGTGTG